TTACTTCCCCGGCCCGCTAGCGGGACGGGCGGCGAGCGAGCGCCGGGCGGGAAGGGGCCGGCCAGGCGGCAGGACCAGCAGCCTGCGCGGGTGCGCGGCGCGGAGCGGGGCTGCCCCGCCTGGGGCGGGCTCGGTCCGGCCGGGGAAGGGGCAGGAGGCTGCCGAGGCATCATGGCGGTTGTGGCCCGGGGGGGCCGGGGGCTCCGCGCCGGGCGGCGCGGCGGACTCACCTCGCTCCGCTGGAGCTGGAAGAAGCTGTTGAGATAGCTGGAGCTGAGTGACGAGCCCAGCTCCGGGGTGCTCTTGGTGTAGCCGAGGTCGGGGTGCTGGGACGAGGAGGGCTCGGGTCTGAAGGCATCGAAGGCGCTGGCCTGGTGCGTGTCTTGCAGCGAGAGATAGACCCAGTTGAGGAGCTGGGCGGGCTGGTACACGGGCGCGGCGCTGGTGTCGATGGTTGACAACAAGCTCATCTTTCCCCCCGGCTCCGCCGGCGCGGCTGGCCCCGCGGTGCCGGTCCCCCTCCTCGCGCTCCGGCAGTGCCGCTCTCCCGTCCCTGCCCGGGGCGCTTCCTCCTGGCCGCCCGGAGGAGAGGACGGGCCGGGGGCTCGCTGCCGCGCCCCGCGCCGCTCTCGCTCCCCTAAGGCCGGCGGCGCCCGCGCAGCCCCAGCGCTCCGCGCAGCACGGGCATCGCTGCCGCCGCCCGCGGGCTCCGCAGGAAACTTTGTGCGCGCTCCGTCCCGCCCGCCCGGCCGGTGCCTGCCCCGCTATCTGTCTTTATTCCCACTCCGGCAGGCAGCGGCGGGGAGGGGCTGCCGGCGCTCCGGCGGCGGCGCCGCGCCCCCATAGGCCTCCCGGCCGCCGCGGGGGTGCAGGGGCGTCCCGGCGCCGCTCCGCCCCCGTCCTGCCCGCCCGAGCGCGGCCGGCCGAGCGTGTGCGGCCGCGGTGTCCGCGCCGCTCTCCCCGCGCCGCTGGCCGCTCGCCCGCCGGGGTCGGAGCGGCTCCCTCCTCGCTCCCCGGCCTTCCTTTTCCTCCTTCCTGAAGGTTTTTGCGCCAAACACGCTCAAAGCCGTCCCGAGCGCTGCGCGCTGGGCCCTTTCGGGTTTGTTTTTAACTCGACAACTTTCGCTCGGCTCTTGTCAGCCCGCCCTCTCTTTTTATTCTCATTTCTGTTTCTTGCTCGTGCTGGGAGTTCATGCAATCTGAGGTTCCTTCTCGTTAAATCGCTGTCAGAGCTCCAGGTTTACGAAGCCCTGCGCGGCCGCTGAGGTTGTGCCAAGCCGTGCAGAGTTAGGGTTTTCCAAATAAGGCAGGCGAGCGGCGCGATGTTCCCTTTGAAATCCATCTAGGTAGCCCTGGCGTGGGCTCTTGGGGAGCCTGGCTGTGGTGGGATACCCGGGAGTTAAAGCCGAGTAGGCCTTTTAAGGAGTCGGTAGCACAAAAGAGGATGATGAATGATTCCTGCTTTAGGAAGGAGCCTGAGTGGGTAAGCTGGTAATTACAGTTCATAAACTCTTGCCTGCTGCCTTCCCTGCAATGAGTGGAACAGGGCAGCTATTTCTTGCTTTGTACAAACACCGTAGTAATCAAACTAGGAGTTTTCAAAGGAGCTCCCTGGAGGTAACTTAAAAACTTGATAATAGCTCCCTATGCCGAGTGACAAAAGGGTAAAAATTAATGTGTCTTCCCAATATGGTTTTGGGGGAAAAAAAAAAAGCCTTCTTTACTTAGATAACAGAAAAAAAAATCTGACCTTTGAAACATCAAAGTTGGCATCTTGGTTTGCCGTAATAAGCCATATGTCTCTGCCAAGATAGGAGAAAAGTCACTCTTCTGAAAAGGCCTGGTTATAAGCAACAAAAAATGAGGGTCAGTGTACACACAGTAGAAAATGCTGTTCAGTCGTCAGCTGCAAACACCAAAGATGGATGCGTTAAACTTTTGAGAGCTGCTAGTTAGGAGAGCAGAGCTATATGCTTGCAGGAATTTAAATGCAGGTGAAGATTCCAACTTTCCAGAACTGCAAGGTCAAGGGTAGAGCAGCTGAATCAAACTGAATTCCTTTAGTGAGGCTACTTTTTTTTTTCCCTTTTCTTTTCTTTTTAGTGACAAAGTCCTTGCAGCACAGATGCAGTTCACTCCTTTGTACACTCTCTAGGTTTAGAAGGCCTTTGAGGCACATTTAAATAAGTGTGCATCAGCATGAGAAGGAACAAACTTCCACCAGTGTAAAGGTGGAATTCCTCATAACAGAAGAATTCAATCAAATTGCATCCTATACTCAAACAGTTGCATAGTGTTTTAAAGAAGGAAAAGGTGGATGAGGCTTAGTGACTTAAATTGTGGGGGAGGATTTTCCATGATTTGCTGGTAAATGAAGAAAAACCTGAAGAAACAGATATCACATCTGAGGAACTTGCCTTTCTGGCAGATGGTATGTAAAAAGTCAGGATATGGTAGAAAGTCTAGAAGGGGGAACTAGGCTGAAGCTGCTTGTTTTGTTGTTGTGGAGTTGTTTAGATTTTTTTTTTGTAGGCATGCTAATTCCTTCCTTAAAGACAATTTCTATTCTTATCACTTCCCTCTTTTACTTGCTAACTTAAATACATGTGTTTTTATTTGGCAGCTCCACTGTGCACTCTGTTTAGTTAGATGCTGTGAAGGAAATAGGAATTCTGAACAGGCAGAAAAGATAACAGGCTTCTTGTAGCAATAGAGGTCAAAAGCAGAGGTCAAAAATGGAGTGGTCAAGGTGATACAATGTTTTGGATGAAGAGTTTTTGGTATATTTTTTTCCCCCTAAATTGAATACAGCACTTATTGTAGGTGGTTGGATTGCTTTAGTTAGACAACACGGTAGAGATTGCTGCAGGGCAGGGGAAGGTGGAGTTGGGGTGCATTTCTTGCAGCAGCTGCATTCATGAATGCAGCAACCCCTTATGATGTGAGGAGCACCGTGTGCTCCACCAGATGCATTTGAGCACCGAGAGCTTTTGGCTGTCATTGCCCCCTGGCAGTAGCCCTGGTAACTTCTGCTTACTTCTAGCCCTTGCCCCTTCTAGTAACCATGCAGAGGAATGAGTAAATTGAATAGATGCTTTGTTTGGCCCATGAGGAAAGGGAAAGGCTGCAAATACATGCATTATGAGCAGCTGAACTGAAAAGTGCCCACTCTTTGAGGTTCAGTTGTCATCCCTGTCTCCTGTGCAGTTTCTTCTGGAACAGTTTCAGGCAGTTCCTTCTCATTTCTCTATTTAATACTGCTCTTAGCTTAGCAAAATGCTGCTGCCAAACTTGTTACAGTCCACTTTAGGTTCAAGATGGTAATTTTTTCATTGGAAGTTCACTCCACCTCTGGGAGTCGTAGATGAGTGAGGAGAAGATGGATACAAATGGTCTGTTTAGCAGAGACATGACAGTACAGAAAAAGGTGCTAAGGTCAATTGCATCTATTCTTCTCAGCAATTCTTGAGACAAAAGTGCCCAATAAGGTAGTGAGATGGCTTTGAAATATCTTCCAGACATGCACAATATCTTCCTATTGATCATTTTGGAATGGAGTACAAGTGACATTAACTACATGGATTTTGCATCAGCCTTATGTTGCTAAAACGTCTATGAATCCTCCTGGTTTTGAGTACTGCTAATGAAGTAAAAAACAACTGGAGCTTTAACATCAAACTTTGAATAAGTGCAGTAGCTTAAGTGACTTGGAAAATAGAAGCCTTGAAACAAGTCAAAGGCAAACACAGGGACAGGATTCTGCTGCTTCAGTCCTGTTGTTTAAGTGATAATGTAATTTATCCAAAATCTCCTTATAACTGCTCATTCAGCCTGTCCCCTTAGTGATCTGGACATCTTGTAGCTGCACCCTTCCCACAACATCTTTGCAAGAGTGAGGAACTTAATTTTCCACTTCTGGCCAGGACTTGTTTCATAATCTAATGTATTTATGTTCTTGCTTGCAATGTTCATACCTTTAGTGATACCAGCCTTTAAACTATACATGTGATTGACATTTCTTTTAAAGAAAAATTTTATTCTCCTCCATATTTTAAAAATGAATATGCCCTACTCAAATATCCTGGATTCTTGTGCTTTTAAATTTGTCTTGGTTTGAATTGCTGTCTTCTTAGTCATCTTCTAGATTAGATGAGGCTCCAGTAGGAAAATAGAACGAATACCCAAAACTGCCAATAAGACTAGAGAACATGTGTAACTTGAACCCACTGTATTCTCCAGTTTCTGTAATCAGGATATACATAATGCAATAGGCCGTTCATCTGCAGCGTGGCTGAAATATTCCAAACAAATGTTTTTCATCTGCTGCAACAGAGATTCTTATCTTATTATGAAATAATTTCACTATGCGGTGGAATCTGTGTGAGCACTCTTTGAATTATGAGAAGGCAGTTCAGCAGAGTTGTAAACTGTGAAAGCACATCTGCATGTGGCATTTGTGAGTTATGGATGTTAAAACCACTTGTGCTGGCTGGGTAGGTACAACATTTCCACTGCCAGCAGTGAAAAGTAGCAGAAACCAAAGTTAGTCAAAGTAAGTCTGGGAAATGCATGTTCTTGGATATGGAGCACCATGGATTTTTGTGCCTTTGTAAAGGATCAGCTGCAACCCAGTGCTTAGGTACAAAAGTAAAAATTCCTGTTTTCTTCCTCCTTTAGATTTGACATAGAAAATCCTGGAAATAGATGGATATAAAGGTATAGTTCATCCATATGTATAATGTTAGTAAATACATACCATATGCAGTTATGATTTGCTGTGGATAGTGTGTGAAGCACAATTCCTGCAAGACTGTCTCAAACCACCAAGTAGGTAATTGGTGTAACAGATCCTCTTGGAGCTCACAGATTCTGCACCTGGCCACTTTGCGGTTTCTAGTCCTGGGGCCTCCTTGCTTGCTCTCTGTTAAGATGTCAGTGCATTGCTGAGTAATTGCATGAAATAAGCCCTGGATCTGAGTAGCTGTGTGAGAAATAGTGGTTTGATCTTTCTGTATAGTTTTACAAAGCTTCTTGTACCTTCTTCAGCTGCAGCACAGTCATCTGAATTGTTCCATTATTTCAGTTTTGAAAGGTAGTATCTCCTTGTTTCTAGTACTGATCTAAAAAGTTCAGCATCCATGTCCAAAACAGTAGCTGAGGTATCTTGTTCCTTCTCCTTAGCCCATCCTAACCCCTTTCACTTGCTTGATCCAGGAATCCAAGAGAGGGAGTCCAAGGAAAAGAGCAGTAGCAGTTAGGGAGAAGTGGGTGCAGGGGAGCCCATCTGCCTTACCTGGAAGTGTTTGTGTTGGAACAGCTGCTGATGGTTGCTTCTGCAGCCAGAGAAATGCCAGGCAAGTGCAGAGGCCCAGGAATTTTGTGTCACCGGGGGATCCCTCTAATCTGCCTTATGCTCCAGGAGACCCTTTACTGAGGGTTAAATGGCCTCAGTGCTTTGTAACTGGTTCCCAGCTGAAGAACAAGTTAGGTGTTATTTATGGAGCCCCTCAAAGAATGCAATAGAAATCCTCAAGCAATTACCCAAGGAGGGAAAGGAGGATTCTTTACTTGATCCTTTTGAAAATGCATGGAGGGTTTCATTTGCATTTTTCTGTGTGTCCCTTTACTGCATATAGTATGTCTGCCCATCTACTTCTCTCACCAATTCCATGGTACTGCAAGCTCCAGGAGACAGATAATGCCTAATTGTTTGCCACTTCTCTGTTTTCCCTAGGAGCTCCACCAGATCTTTTCTTCCAATAACTATAAACCCTGCTTGCTGAGGTAGAACAAGGCTTTGAGTTAGAGCAACTGCAGGAGGCAAAAAAGAATGCCAGAGATAAACATACATG